AATAATTAAAATGCTGATACAAAATTTCAAACACATCAAAGAGAGCAGAAAGCCCCAAATAGTCCCAAACGTAGCACACAGAGGGATAATTATTCCAGAAGCCTGCTGTAAAATTAACAACTTAGAAAAAAAGAGATTGGCTTGGATTTCTACCTCAGGCTACGCACCAAAATTATTTTTTTATATGAAATTGAAGGAAAGCGAGAAGAAAGGAAGAAGTAGAAACAAATTATTTAAGAAATTTGAAGGTATAGATGATCTTTGAATACAGAAAATCTTCATAAGCCAATAGAAAAGATACACAATAAAATGAGAATATATGACTACATAAATATTTAAAACTTATGTACCCCAGAAATTACAATTAAAATTAAAGGCAAATGATAAAGGAAAACATTATTTTCAGTGTTCTAAAAATATTAATTTTTATCTAAAGATATTCAGTATGAAAACATAACTTTGGCTATTTATTAATATGCATCAAAACCTTAAAAATGCATATACCCTTATATTTAGCAATTCTACCAGAAGTAATTTTGTTAAAATATAACAAAAGTCATTAAAAAATAGTCAAGTTTTCAAGTGAAAAAAGCAGCCTGCAGAGTGTGATCAAATAAAATTTTAAGTCTTAAATTCGCATTGGCCTATCATGATGCAAAATGTTGGCAATGGTTTCTCTAAGGAACAGGATAACAGACAGTTTTTTTTGCTTTCTGATATTTCAGGATATTTCCAAAATATTATTTTGCAATATACAAAAACATTTCTAAAACTTTGAAAGAGAATGATCCTAGATGATGATCTGAGATGAGAAAACAAAGCCTCTATATTAAGGAGAAGTAGATATCCACAGAGCAAGGCTCTGAATGATGGCCATTGTATTTCCTATGAACCAACTGGAGCAGAAAACATAATGCTTCTACAGGATGATAAAAAAACAAACAAACAAGAGTTTTTGTTCATGCCATTGTATAAAGCCTGTGTGGTCAGGGGTACTAATGTATGTACCAATCCTGTCCATGCAGGCCAAAGAAGGGACTGGTGGGAAACCACAGAGCAGAAGAGGGTCAGAGTATAGGAACCCGCTTCCCCTCCCCTCCCCCATACACACACATTCCTCTCCCTCCTGGGGAGATCACTGCAGTCCTGCACCCAAGGCTCAAGTGCCCTGCTGGGTTCCTGTTAGGCAGTGTTTTCCATACTACTAAGCTTCTCTCTGAAGTTCTGGGTTTCCCAATAGCTTCTCCAACACTTGCCCCTTCAGGTCTAGGACCGCAAAATCTTCTCACTATTACCAACCCAAACTACTACTTTATCTCTTGTTCAGTTTCCTAAACCCGGTCCCCACCTTTATAAAGTCTAATATGCAAATCAACCAAACTGAGGAAGGACCGGTGGAATGACTGGTGCACTGACCACCACAGAAGCCATCCCCTGGTGGTCAGTGTGCTCCACAGGGGGAGCACCACTCAGCCAGGAGCCGGGTTCACAGCTGGCTAGTGCAGCAGTGGTGTGGTGGCAGGAGCCTCTCCTGCCTCTGTAGCAGTGCTAAGGAGCAGCCAGCCAAGAGGTAAGGGGCAGCAAGCAAGCGGGTGGTAAGAAGCGAGAGGTCCTGGACTGTGAGAGGGATCCTGGACTGTGAGAAGGCACAGGCTGGGCTGAAGGATCCTTCCACAGCCCTGACCCCCTAGTGCACGGAGCCTCTAGTTCTCTAATAAACTCAATCAAGTCACCCAATTGGCGTGTTGCCTGATTCCCAATGGGACTGTGCTTGATGTAGTAATACACACAATGAAAAGAAAATAAGGTCAAGTGCCTTTATACTGCACAAAATATCTGACCTAAGGTGGTTAATAAGTTATTTTCATTCAAGTGTGAGATAAAATGTTTAACCCTATGTTAACTCTTATTATTCAATGATTCTATGATACCGAGAGCATCTAATGCTTTCTAGGTTTTTGTTTTTAAAGACTAAGGAAGTTACTAACCCTTATATAACCTCAGCACATACAGGACAGTGTATTAGAAAAGGGACAGAATACTGGCTATCTATTTCTCATGAGACAAATTGCTTTTGCCACAAATTTAAAAGGTAGGCATTTTCCTCTCAGGTCCCCCTTGTATGTGTCACAGAACACCTTTTTACTTTGATGTGATTGGGTTTTGCTTAGCCCCGAGCTCCACAAGTTCACTGCTATTTCTGGTCGGCTCCACAGGAAAGTGGCAAGGACTCACACTGGGCTGACTATCTGTGAAGATGTGAAAAGTCCACTAAAGAATTCCTTCTGAAAATGTACAGGAGCTTGTTTCAACAGCAAGCTCCTGTGCTCTGAGGGGAAAAGACGGTTCTGAGAAGAGAACATGGGGTTTGTCATTCAGGTGGTCTCCAGCTCAAGTCCAAGGAAAAGGGGGTGGGAGGATTCTCTTTTCACACAAAACTGCAGTGGGGCATTCCAAACACAAGGAAGAATGTAAGAAAGCACAGCCCAAGAAATGGGAGGAAGTGATTCTCTCTCCTGGAGCAGAGCAATTCAGGCACAACAGTGAGCCAACACTGGGGCCCTCCCAGAGTAGTGGAGGTCAGCTCCAACACCTGAGAGTCCCCTGAGTGACAGCTCTGGAGATTCTGGTGTTTCTCTCAACGGGCACATCACCAAGGCTCCAAGAGCTCAGAGATTGGCAAAAGAATTGCCCTTGATGGTGGGCACAATGTCATCAAAATGGCATCAGAGACTCTTATGGGAGCCAAAGGCTTTAGCTGCCAAGGTAGTCACAATGATGCCGAAGGCCTTGGGAATGACAAGAGAGAGAATCCTTGGCATTGGCACCAGCAACAGCGGCTAGCTACCATCCTGTGGCAAAGAGGATTCAAGAAGCAGTAGTTTATGGAGACAGCTTCTCTGATATCAGCTCTCTCTTACTTTTTATTCTTGAACAAAGTGAGTTTACAGTATTAGGTGTTATCTTAAGCCTCAGAAAAAAGAAGATCATTGAACGATAAGCTCTGAATAGAGGGAAATCTAAGCAGTGGCAAGTCCGAAGTGGCCGAGGGCAGCATAAGGACAGCGTGAGACTCATGATGAAAAACATCATCTCTTTTCCATCTCTGCCAAGAACTACTAGTAGGCTCAGATGTCAACAGCTCACAATTGCTATCGCACAACAGAAATATGAATGCTAAAGTCTTGACCTCCTGTTTCACTCATTTAATGAATAATACACCCTAAAAAAAGTAAAAGCACTGAAGGCATAAAATTGTAAGACTTCAAATACCTGGAAATATTTTGTATCTAATTTTTCTGTCTCTGTGATTCCTATAGTGACAAATTTTGTATGTTTCCCTAAGGGCAGGGGAATCAATGAAAATACCATAGACTGCGTTGTTATAGGCCAGACACTTATTTCTCAACAACAGAGACAATAACAAGGAAAATGTTAACTTCCTCAAGATTAGCAATAAGTGACAAGGCCACCATGCTAATATTGAGTACTGGGTTAAAAACAAATTTGCTTCAGACATGGGGTATCTTATTCTTTTTATATATCCACCCCTCTCTCTCCAAGCCTATCCACAGGGCATTGTGTACCCCCAAGGCTCTCAAGAACCTGAGCACTAGCCCGAGGAACACAGTAATTAAGCCACAGTACTGTCACTCATGAGAACTGGCTGGGGACCTAGATGCCTTTCCTTAATAGTCATTCTCTTTCTGCTGCATGATGTCATTGTGCCGTCAGAGCCCAGCTAGGAGAGCTATCACTGTCTGGCCCTTCATCCTCATTTTCCCCATCTCACCCAAAACCTCAGAGACCTCTCAGGACACAGATCATTATATTAAAACAAGAAAGTAAGGAAGACTGGAAAAGCCACATATGAGGTAAACTAGGGTGCTCCGCTGAGCTTCAGAAATAAAAGAAGACAGAAGTGAAACCTATGGAATCTCTGTAGAAGTATAATCACCCCCCAAACACCACTGAGGTTTATTTCCTTCTCTATTACCAAATGGAATTTGGCTAATTATTCCCTGAAAGTAAACATGTTAATTCTAACATTAATAAAATTAACATTAATGGCCAGTTACAAGGAGGATGCCATGATACATTGGTGGGGATGAGACTATTACTAAATCACCTAAACTTTGATCCACTATATCTACCTATGAGTAGAACTGAAGAAAGCACTTTTTTATAACCAAATAGATTGACCTTAATATGCACACATATCTAAGGCAACCAGCAGAATATAAGCATGCATAGGTAAGCTACAAATGCTAGGATGACAGAGGATTCATTAGAGACACATGCATTCACATATATGCAATTAAAATACACTATCCTCTCATCTTTCATTTCTCTTTACAATTTCATGTGAACCTTTCACTTACAGAGTAAAAATGTAAGTGAAAGGTTCCCCACTCCACTTAAGTGAAAGGTTCCCCACTCCACTTAAATATATTCAAGCAAAGCTCTTAGGAAGGTTTCCAGAGAGTTAGGTTCCTTTAAAAATGGCCATCCATGAAATAAAGCTTTTGTCTAACACAAGTGAAAGAGTAACTGATATGGGATCTGTGCATTCACTCTGCACAAGGTAACTGTGGCTGAAAAGCATCAGTCACAGACAAACAGCAAATCAGATTACAGCTCTGGAGAACCATACTCTGCCTCTTCCAGAAACCCAGCCAGCTCACACATTATAGAGGGCCAGCCACCTGCTTCCTGAGGAATTTGTAATCTACCTTCTCCATTAGTTCCCCAAAGGGTCTCTTACTTCACACCGGTGCCCCCCTCCATTCATTCCACTGCATTCACCTTTCATTTCGAAAAGATTCGTTAACGATAAGAGTGTAAGGGTTCCCTTTAAAGGAGCAACCAAAGAGAAAAGCCTTCGGCATTACATTTTATAACAAAACAAAAACTCAAATTCCGAGAGTCTCCTGAGTTAGAACTAAAAGCCACTGCAGCAGAAGACCCGTTCCTGGGTGCCTGGCCTGCTTTCACATTACCTGCTTCAGTGTACTTCAATCCCACTTTTTCTTCGGTGTCCTTTGTCTTTGGGGGTGGCCAGACAGCTTGGAGTCTGCCAGGAGTCCTATCGTCCTGCTCAGTGGGGCTGTGCTCAGGCTGTTTAAAAAGCAGGCAAATAAAATAATAAGATAAGTGAAATACGACTAAAGCTAATTACTCCCCAAAATCAACATGTTAACTCTAGCATTAATAAAGTAATGGCCAGTTGCACATTGCATTCAATGATCCTTTCCCAGACATCTAAAGTGACCAGTGGGAGTGAAAATTAAAAAGAAAAAACACCTCAAGGCTATAGGAATATAATTAATGTACAGCACAGTAACTATGGTCAATAGAGTTGTAGTTTAAATTTGGAAGTTATTAAGAAGGTAAATTTTAAATATTCTCATCGTATGAAAAGAAATTTGTAATTCCGCATGGGAATAGAGGGTAAAAGCCTTACTTACTGTGCTAATTGTTTCACAATACATACAAATGTCAAATCATGTTGTATACCGGAAACTAATATAATGTATGTTGATTATACTTCAATAAACACACACACACACACACCTCAAGGCCAAGTATTACACAACCTTTGATAGATGATTTTTATGATGTAACTATCTTAAAAAAAAAATCACAAATACACTTTCAGCTGAAGATATACAAACGTAATCCAATCAAGTACACGTATAGAAATGTATCCCAAACAACTCCATGCTTATTTATGACATAATGACTACTTTTCTACTTTCCATCAACATTAGCTGTAGGCCAAGATACACTTCTCAAGCAGCCCACACTGCTATTTCAATCATCTTTTTCTTTCCTATTAAAAAAAATATAGTGAAATAACCTTCAAGCTATTTTTATCCACTGATTTTTATAACTATGCAAGTGTTACATAGGGTTTAGTTAAAAACTAAACTCTAAAATAATTCTACCAAAAACTTTTTAATTTTTAACATTTTAACTGATAAACTATATAAGAGGAAATAATTGTATTCTGAGTTGATATAACCCAAGACATTCTATTTGTTGTCCTTATGAACCTCTAAGAGTTCTTGGACAGGTAGTCTATAAATTACCAAATTAATTTTCTTTGAGTAAAAGCTTTTATTAATTAGTCACCATACACTAACTTTGCTTAATCTTCACAACCAATGTATAGGTTGAGGGTTAGCACTTTCTTTTTTTCTTTTCTCCTCATGAGGAGTTTGAGGCTCAGAGGTGATCAGGGTCACCCAGACAGTAAATGGCATTGTCAGAATTAAAATCCAGGTATCATTTTAAATCCAGTGCTCAGTCAGGATGCCTTGTCACCAACACGGAACATTTCAATTACATCACAAACAAGTATTCCGCCGAGTGAGTGGCAGACATATACAGGAAAAATACTTCTCATGGAGGTATATAATTAAGTGGTGAGGAAACCTGAGCTGTTTCCATATTGCATCGCATCCTCATGCTGCACAGTTTTATAAGAACATTTACTATTAATGTTTAAACTCCGAGTGACAGCTTCCCTTTCCCACCAGCACATAATTACATACACCTCTCTTATACCAACCCATAAAAATATAAGGAAGAAAGCGCTGCTGTTCTACTCCTTACAAGGACAATTTCAACAGTAGTCATCATTCACCTCAAAGACAGTCACTAACAATAGGTGACCGGAATTCACTTTGACAGGACACCTTAAATACAGCAGCATCACATTGCATGACAAAATGGAAGACCCAAGTCTACATACGCTTTTGGAATCAGAGGGGCCGTCCGCTGGCCTTGCCTTGGACCGTTCAAACACGGCCCTTAGGGACTCCTTCTCGTGCCTCATCTTGCGCTTGAGAGCCTCCAGCTCGGAGGTGTCCGCTGTGGTCCCCTTTTTGGGGGGACGGATGAACAAGGCTTTGAAGGCCTCCAGGGCGGTTTCCGGTGGCTTTGGTTTGACCTCTCCACCCTGGGTCTGTGCTTCTTCTCCTGGACCGCCCTGGCTCTCCTGGCCAGCGCTGCAGCCCATCTCTCCTTGCCTGGGCAGCTCAGGGTCTTCTGCCTTCACCTCGGCCCTGGGCATGTCGATGCTGAGGAGCTGGGAGAGCTGCTCCAGGAGAGTGGGAGTGGCCTTCAGGTCGCTGGCTTTCTCCCCAGTCTTCCCTGTCTGGGGCGCTGTCTGCGGCCCTGTCTGCGCTAGGGACTTCTGCACGGGTTGGGTCAGTTTGAGCAGAGCCAGGTCCCCATCCTTTGGTTTAATTTCGGTGATGGTCTCCCCACCGTCGGCGGGAACCCCCTTCTTCAGCACGCGGAGCCCGCTGAAGAAAGCTGGCAGCTGGAATGACTTCTCTCCGGGAGCTTCTTTTTTAGAAGAGGTGTTCTCGGTGACACCAGCACTCAAGGTCTGGTCTGTCCCCCCAGGCAGACCTTGGGCACCTTCTTCCCCAGCCTGTCCTGGCCTGGGGCTGTGCTCCGTCTGAGGACCACCATCACCAGGTTCCCGTGTGCTACATGTCTCAGGGGGAGTCCCCCGAGGAGGACCTTCCTCCCCGGGCTCTGCAGCATCCCTGTCCCCCGCGGCAATGTCCTCCCTACAGTCTCCTGGCTTTTCTTGGGGCTCCTCAGATGGCTCGGATAAAACAACACTGAGGGACTCTGAGCCATTGGTGTTGCTTCCCTCTTCTGGCTCCTGGCCACCATCATCCTCATCAGAGTCCGAGTCACTGGTGGTGGTCACCAGGGTCCCGCGAACCAGGATGGCATCGTCTCTGCCCACACTCAGAGCATTGAGGGGAAGAAGCTCTTGGCCAGGGAGAGGAGTCCCTGCCTCTGCTTTTCTTTGACTTCCCTCCGACTCCCTCTCTGTCTCCTCCTCCCTTGCGGTCTTCCCATCACCTCTTCCTCCAAGGCCGCCGGGTGCAACCTGAGCCCCTGCCTCCTGCCCATCAGAGCCCTCGCCGGGCCCATCCTGGGGGTGCGCGGGATCCACCACCAAGGCGTGGAAGGCTTGCAGCACCACGTCTTCCTCTTCGGGCTTCGCAGGCTCCAGCTTACTCGCAAAGCCGAAAAAGGATTTCATGGAGAACTTGCTCAGGATCGACTGGGCCATCTCCGGGGCAGCTGCAGGCGTGTCCGGCTGCAGGACATCACTGCCATTCACAGGGTCACCCACGGCCTCCATGCCTCACAGCTGTGCCCTCGATGGAAGTCCCGGCTCCGGTTACCTTCCCCTGCTCTCAGTCTATCCACTCCATCGGCTCTTCACTTACAGGACGGGACGGGAGCAACAGGAGCCGCAGCCCGCTCCGCGGCCGCTCCGCAGGCAGCACACTTGGGTTCTTTCAGGTCGGTCCCTGCGCTCCCCTTCCGGTCGGTCTGTGCGCCCCGGGGCGCCCGGGGCCACTGTGAAAAGTCCGCGGAGCTCTGCGCCCCGGAGCTGCCTGGGCTGTGCACCTTACTACTCGCGCGGGCCGGGAGGCTGCTCCTCTGGGACTTCCGTATTTATTTCCTCGGACAAAAGGCTTTTTGTCGTAAGGAAAGTCAGCCAGGCCCCAGTCATCCCAGCTCAGGACTTGGCCGCAGCTCCGCCCCAGCGCCCGTCTTTGCTCCTGGTTGCTTTCAACTTCCTCATTGGTGAGCAAGTGAGGCTCCAGAAAGTGCTGAGCCGGCAAGCTGCTCCTGACAGCCCTCCGCCACCCCAGCAGCCCAAGACATTCAAAAGTGAATCAGCAGAAAATGACTGAAATACTTTTTTTTTTTCTTTTACGGGCCCCAGGTTGCCATCTAACTTTATGGTCAGAAGCCTGTGTCATCCAGGCCAAAACACACAAAAAAAAAAACTAGCAGTGCACACAGAGCAACAGCCACTCACAAAGCCCAAGGCAAAGAAGTAAAAGTAAAGAAAGAACTAGATCATCTCAAAAACCCTGGAACTCAAAAGCAGTTAATTTACTGCCCTTGAAGTTTTTTTTTTTTTTTAAGTGCTTTCTTCCGCTTCCCTGCAGGTTTCATCTGGAATGCAGATTTTAGCTGCGGAGGCCAGAGAAGGAAAACCAACGAGACTGGTTTCAGATTACTGCTGTTTTAGCTCTGCCCTGGTGTCTCAGTGTTCCACAAACAGGTACTTAGACAAGCACGCCCACCACACCCAGTGTCCACCAGCCTCAGGGTGGCAGAGTAAACAGCCCCAGCCCGGCAGGATTGGTTCTTCTCCATGCTCCCTGCCAACCTCAGGCTTCTTCAGCAGCGCCAACTTCCTGGATCTCTCAGGAATCCGGGCGACTAAAGGGCACCTCTCTCTGCTTCAGTGATCCAACCAACTAAAGGAAGCCTGGCATGGTACATGGTAACACACAACCTGCCTTGTTAGGCAAAGCAATTCACAAAGTCCCCGAGGAGCCACATTCCTCTGAGGGACAAAACATCTGAAAGGTCTCTACCAGTCGGATCTCTATCAAAGACTCAATTTGCCTAAAACAGAAACAGAACAGACAAAACAACCGCCCAGCCTCAGCTCAATGTAGTTCCCAATCCTCTGATTATACGCTGGGAACCTGGCAACTGAGGTCGTGGAAAAAGTGCAGCCCTGTTTCCCAGCTGCATAGTTGCCTCTTGGGACAGCTTCCTGTCGCACCTGCAGCTCTCAGTGTTTCTCTTTCAAATCCTGTCCAGTCAGCAGGCATTGAGTAAGCACCTGGGATAGGCAAGGCACCATGCTGGATCAGGAGAGGCAAGCTAGCTTAATAGTTACCATCCCTCAAAAGTAATCACAGACTCTCTCTTTGAGCCCAAGTGTTAAACACAAACAGCAATTAATTCTGCAAAATAGTTGTTGCCACAAGCCAAAGTACAGTCTTGCCTCTTCTGTAGCAGGGAATGGCTGTGGGTGCCACGCTGATAACCTGTATCATGTTCCCCAATAAATATGAACACTAAGAAATTCTGATTGCAATAGCACGTCTAGCAATGTGTTCTGAGCTAAAACAGCAGTACACAAAGGAACCCTGGCACAAAGAGGGTACATGTTGTATTCCATCAGTCCTTATAGGAAAGTTAAGATAGCACTTCCTAATCCTGGATTTCACTGTGTCTAAATGGATACTTTCCTGTTTGCTAGTGATCCTAGTATATTTTGGGATAATTAACTAGGGAACGTGCAACAATAATAATTTAAAAAGTCCACCACACATGCAGAAATATGCATTGGTGCCATTTAAGTCTCAGAATCAGATTCCTGTCCAGAGAAAATGCACATTGATCAAATCAGACTTCTGCTTCAAGGTGGAGGGGAAAAAAGGAATCATCACACCTGCCCATAAGATCAGTTTTCCAATATATGGGTGACAGGAGGAGACATGGCACATATTTGGTGCTTTCCTTCTTTAACTGAGAAGGCTCCATTTTCTCAGACATATCAGAATACGTTTCAAGAATCCTCAGATTTGGCAAAATGTCACATAAACTAGAAAGACTTGTTGACCATTCTACACTATAGCGTGGAGCAAAATTATAAAGTTTCAGAATCCTCTCAATACCCACAATGCCAATACATCATTGGGGGGGGGGGGCAGTGGGAAAGCCATGGGTCTCAGGAGAAGATGTGACTCCAGCCCCTCAAGGTGGGTAAGGTATTATTAGGTTCATTTTTAAAAGTGAAGCAGCTATGGCCAAGAGAACATAACTGCCCCAGGTTGCACAGCTAATGAGTGGAGAATAGTAATCATATCTAACAGTTATTAAGTGTTTACTATGTGTCAAGCACTTTTCTACATTAACTGACTGATACACATAACTATGAGGTCGGTTTTATTCTCTTTTTCCTATTTGGAAGCACAGGAGGATAAAGTAGTTTTCCCAAGTTCATAGCATTGGTGAGCAGTGAAATGAGAACCTGAGTCCAGGCCATCAGGCTCCAGAATCCACACTCTTTATCACTCTCCTAAAACCCTGACTTCTACCTCCTGCCAAAATAGGATGCCACACATACCTGAATTGTGAGATATAAAGGCATATTGGCTTATGTGGTTGGTGGTCTCAGTAGGATGCGTAATGTACTTACCCTCTGAGATGACACAGAACACTGACTTCACAAAAAACGTAAGAACAGCCATTCTTTTCTCTTACTTTAATTTAGGGGGAGGGGGGAATCTAAAGGCACTGCTTAGAAAAATCAAGCAAAAATTCCTAGCTGGCCCTGGCTGATGTTGCTTAGTTGGTTGAGCATTGTCCCATGCACCAAAAGGTTGCTGGTTCAATTCCTAGTCAGGGAACATGCCTGGGTTGCAGGCTCAATCCCTAGTGGGGGCTTGCAGGAGGCAGCCATCAATGTTTTTCTTTCCCTCTCCTTTCTGTCTAAAATTAATAAAAACATTTTTTAAAATTCCTTTTTAAAAATATACTTTTTTATTGATTTCATATAGGAAGAGAGAGAGAGAGAGAGAGAGAGAGAGAGAGAGAGAGAGAGAGAGATAAAAACATTAATAATAAAAGAGAATCATTGATTGGTTGCCTCCTGCATGTTTGTTACTGGGGATGGAGCCCACAACCTGGACATGTGTCCTTGACCAGAATCAAACCTGGGACCCTTCAGTCTGTAGGCTGATGCTTTATCCACTAAGCCAAACCAGCTAGGGCCCTAGTTGACTTTTCTGCTGGTTACAATCAAGACATTGAATCCTCTGGACTAAAACACATCAAGAGGTTGTCCAGCTTGCCCCTATAATTCCTGTTCTTTCAAGAAGCATGACTCCTGCCCTAGCTGGTTTGGCTCAGTGGATAGAGGGGTCCCGGGTTTGATTCCAGTTAAGGGCACATACTTCAGTTGCAGTTCCCCAGCCCTGGGCAGGGTGTGTGCAGGAGGCAACCAACAATATGTCTCTCTCACATCAGTGTTTCTCTCTGTCTCTCACTCTCTCTGAAAGTCAATGGAAAAGTATCCTCAGGTGAAGATTAATAAAGAAGAGGAGAAGCATGATTCCTATCACAAAGATATATTCACCCAAAAATAATTATTAAGTGCTGACTATGTACAAAGCTCTGGTGATATAAAGGTGAAGAAACTCCAGCCCTCCACAATCATGGAATGTGTAGTTTAATGGGGGAAATCAGCCAAGAAAGAGGTGATTCTATCCATAGACTGTAACAGCTATACCCCAGCTCTAGACTGAACAACAATAAGTGGACCTAAAACAATTTTGAATGAAAGCAAGCCATGACTGCCTAAATATGAAGCTAAGAAAGAGCAGCATGTTTGTTCAAATAAATCTCTGAATATTGACTGTCTTGCAGGCCACTGGTCCTCATGACCATGAAAAATATTACTACTTCTGGGCATTTAGGGAATTAAAATTTATTTCAGACTGTAATGTTCAAATAAGCAACCAACAAATTTGATCTTAGTTGGTTTGAAAAATGATTCCATTTACAGTGCTATAACATTTGCAGGAGAGAAATATCATTTCTCTTGGACATTATTTAATTCAGTGTCTTATTCCACTATAAATACTTATTAAGCACCTAAAAACTACCCCAAACCAGGGACAGTCAATACTGTCATATTTACAGCCTCGCCTGATTTTTTTTTTTTGTTCTAATCTCAAGACACTTCAGCTCTTTGATGCTACACTTGAGAGCAGAAAACCAAATAAAAATGATCTACCTTTGACAACTAAGAAAACAGGCATGATAAATAATTAGGTAGCATTTGGCCCACATGATGTTCTTTCAACTATTTGTTAAAAAACAATCAGTACCCAGCTTCTTGAAATTGGAACATAGTACATATTTGTGTGGAGAATTTACTACCAGTAAATTTTCCATGTTTATTTCATCTCACTATCCTCTCAAATTGAGGCAATAAGAACATCTCATAGCAATAAGAACATCAGTCCAACTTGGTAAGATAAACCTTAAAAAAGTGATTACAACAACAAAAAAGATGCATCACCTCATGGGAGCAGTAGAACCAAGCTCCTTGATTCTCACAAGATTAATCAGCATTAAAAACTAAAAGAAACAACAACAAAAACACAAAATAAAATAATAAAAAACACACATCTATAAGCAGAAGTTGCCTAAAAAGAAAACTTCCTAGAACCACTTCCCCTTACTTTGTGTGACTTTCACCTATATCATTCAGTTTCGATAATCCCTTCCCACATTCTCATAAAACCCTGAAAGGCAAGAAAAAAAAGTAAAGCAAATGAGATTACATTTCACAGCATTAGGCTACTTAATTCTCATGTTTCTCTTTATCCAATTTATTTCAAATTCTGGGTCTGAATTGAATGACTAATAATTGCTTCCAGCTTCCTAAAGTGGTTCAACTAGGTTCATGTGAGGCTTGCTAGAGACAGCAAGTAGAATTTACATTAGTAAGAGAAAGTAAAAGAGAAGAAACTATATCTGTGAAAGAAAAAAGTTTGAGCAATAGATTGGGAAAAGTAAACTATAAATAAGGTATGAGTGGGGTAATGTATGGAGATAAGTTTTGAGGGTTCAGGAAGTATGTTTTAACTTACCAAATGAAGTTGAGATCTGAGGAAATTATGACATCACAAGTACTGATACTCCAAAGACATTTGTTACATGAGTCAGAGGCCACATGGAAGGAGTAGGTTATGAAAGAATGTTGGTAGAATCAAATAGTTGGGAGGTTGAATGGGACTTCAGAAATATTAGAAACCAATTAGCTTAACCTTATTTTATTTTATTTTAAATATATTTTAATTGATTTTTTACAGAGAGGAAGAGAGAGGTTTAGAGAGTTAGAAACATCGAAGAGAGAGAAACATCGATCAGCTGCCTCTTGCACACCGCCTACTGGGGATGTGCCCACAACCAAGGTACATGCCCTTAAACAGAATCGAACCTGGGACCTTTCAGTTTGCAGGCCGACGTTCTATCCATTGAGCCAAACCAGTTTCGGCAGCTTAACCTTATTTTAAAGAGGAAGTCAAGAGAAGCTAAATAACTGGTACCAGTTCACACTTCTCAAGCACAGCAGCAAGATGGAAATGGGTGTCCTGACCCCTGTCCACCCCATATCACACCCCCTGCTCCTGCCTTGGCATGTGTGACCTTACCTTCTTACAGGTCAGCATCCTCCTTATCCTCATTCTCCACATCTTCAAAATCAAATTATGAGGCCAAATGAAAGACAAAGCCAGAGACTTCCATAAGCTTCCCTTCTATTTTAGTTCTACTGGTATAGCACTTCCCCTGCCAACTAACACAACACTTAATACAGCCCCTCTGCATCAGCCTATCAGAAGCTGGCAACTGTTTTTACTAATTCGTTAAAAAAGAAAACAGGCCCGGCTGGCATGGCTCACCAGCTGAGTGTCGATCTATGAACTA